TTAATTAGTTAAGTTAATTACTAGTATATTTAGTTTGTTTAGTTAAGGTAACGACGACATACAGTACTTATATACTGTGTGTTTCTTTATTATATATATATATATATATATATATATATAATACATATATGGTCAGAATAATATGTATTATATTTTATTCATAAATGCATTAAGCATATACACGATAGGTTGTCAAGAATTGTCTCTATTCTTTACATCTGTTAAGTTCGATGACTGCCAATAAACTAAATAGGACAGATATAATCCCTGTCTCGATGCAGAGCTCAAGCCATATAGTGCCAATAAACTAAATAAGCCAGATATAATCCGTGTCTGTGTATAGAGCTGGTGCCATATAGTGCCAATAAACTGATTAAGCCAGATATAATCCCTGTCTGGATGTAGAGTTTGTGTCGTATAGTGCCAATAAACTAAATAAACCAGATATAATCCCTGTCTGGATGTCAAAACTTTAGGTTGACCATAGGGACTAAAATCAGAGTTTGTGTTCTACTTCACAATACAATACACTTACATATATTTAAATGTAATGTGCAACAAATGTGAAATGTGCTGTAATTGTGTGCACAAGAAGTTGTAGATAATATTTTGAAGAAACAGACTAGAAGGTTTTTGTGAGATAGCGAATTCTATTTTTATTTTGTTATAGTTTTGTTTACGGTTCACTTATTATCCCTTTTATTGTTTAGTTAAGGCTACAAGGTGAGTTTGTGCTTGAATATAATTAAAAACTAAACAATAGAAGGGGTAATACATGAACAGTAAACAAAACCATAACAAAATAAAAGTAGAATTCTCTATCTCACAGTTTTAGGTTTGTTTATCATTGTAATTACCCAGTGTTTCATAAAGGTTTTCAGAAGTGAGTGTATATGAAGTTTATTTTATAGATCTCTATGGTATGAACTACGTGTTAAAGTGGAATTTTGAAACTTGGAATGAACCAGATCATCATGACTTTGATGGACTAAACTTTACTCTTAAAGGTACTTTCAGAATTAATTTAAGTTTAAAGAAATCATTAGTGAGGCTTAATATCAATAGTATTGTATTTTAGGTGTAAAAAAATTAATAGCTGAATAGACTTACTGAACAAACTGTTTGGAGTACTTGTACATAATTATAAAGTTACTGTAGTTATATAAAGTACATTACCTGTTTTAATATGCATCGATATATATATATATATGTGTGTGTGTGTTATCATTAATGTACTTAATCACCTATGATTATATATACAATGCTCAGAAGGGCACCTTATAAACAATGAAACGTAATTCAGCATACACAATTAGGAAATAATGGCATGAAATGAAAACGTGATCATTGTGAAAACGTTTTTCTAGATATGCAACCTAACAAAGCACTCTGAACAAAACATGTAATCATCTTCCTTCATTAAAAAAAACAACTCTGGACAAAAACAGAATTTATAAAATAAAATATGAATACAAAAAATTTTACATCAGTCAGACAATTCAGAAACTAAAATCTCATAATTTACTGTAAAAAATAAAAATTACATTTATCAAGTGTAGCATAAGATGCCATTAACTATAACCACTGTATCCTATTGGAAGAATTAATTTGTTTTTGAGTAACTATACACAACTGAATGTAAGAGTATCGACGAAAATAATTAAACAAAGAAGTTTTTCCTTAAGTAAAGACAAAGATTCTGGATTTTCAGTCCTTCAGCTTACTTGAATTACCATTGTAGGGACATTTATATACTTACTCATACATATTTATTAACAATATATTATGTATAGTGTATACATGTAGTGATTGGTATTGTTTCATTTACACAGAATGGTAATTTAAAATTGACATGCACCATGTCCTATAGGAACAAATATTTTATTACAAGTTACAGCTTTAAGAGTAAGAATGTTTTTTTTTAGAACAGGTACAACGTTTTGATCACTGATGCGATCATTCTCAAGTACACAAGTATTATTTTAAATATAATATAAATATACTGTTGTCTTTCATTTTGCCTGACAATGAACCAAACAAATGTGTTTGAAACATGTAGCAAAATGTTTTACAATAATGAATAATTGTGCTTTAAAAGGTGTGCTACTTTTATTAATGTTTTGTTTTTGTGTTGTTGTTATCTGTTTGATTTTATATATCATAAAGTTCTTGACTGTGGACTTTAAACAGGCTTAAATCTAAGGCTTATTCCAATGGTCAACCTCCTACATTATTCAAATTAGTTGTATTCTTATACTTTGTAAAACTTTGTTGAGCTATCGAGTACAATTATATTTCAAAGTGATGTATTGGACATACAGTTATGGATTAAAAATTACTGTTGCTGGCTGGCTGCTCCAGCATACTGACTCTGCATTAAAAACAGCTCATATCCACCCTCCATAGTCACCAGATTTGTTTGTTTTTTCTTATCGGGAATATAATCTGTTTTATTTTACAGATAAATTGCACTCAGACTTATTTTCTGATAAGTAAGAGTATTGTTATTTTCCTGTTTTATTTACCTCAAAATGTCAGCTGTCTTTAATATTATTAGGTTTTCTTAATTATTACGATGCATCACAAAAAGGATTGAAAATGACTAACTCCAAATTGAAATTGGGAGGACCAGGAGGATCATGCCATCTTCCAGCAACAGGTCGTTCACCACTATGCTGGACTTTTTTAGACCACTGTGCTAAACAAATGTATTTGCATAAAAAACAAAACAACATGACATTGGACTTTATTTCTTTCCATAAAAAGGTAATGGTTAAAATCGTTTTTGTTTTCACAAGAAAATGTATGCTAAAAATGAATCACAACACTATCATCTGTAACTTGTTATTTTTGTTCGTTAATGAATTTATATACACTAGTAACATAAGTTTAAAGAGAAAAAGAACATAGAAATTTATAAATCATTAGATAGTATCTACATGTAAAATTCTTAGTGTGGCTGTTAATTAAAATTAATTACATAATTTTTTGTTCCTAATTTCATTTTAGGTATCTTTGTATGCAGACTTCTAATGTCTGAATTGAATTGAACAAGTGACTGAAGAAATAAAATATCATTCAATACACAAATAATATTTAATGAAAATATATTATTTCTGAGAAGATACATCACCTCCACACAGAGAATACTGTGATCTCTCATGTATCTCATAAGATACTAGCCTTTAGCTCACTAGCACCTAAAAATCACGTGTTTGACTTGAACTGTGCTAGTACATGATGACATCATTATGCAACGATAGCCCTCCACTAATAAGAGGGTGACACAACCTGCTTTTGCAGTAGCTCCCCCTATGTATAAATAACTTCATTCTTTTCCTCAGCATTATCTAGAATGGGCGTGTTTTTAAATAAAATGTGGTCGGCAAGGTAAGCCAAAGGTGGTGCATGCCAACAGGCTTTGGCATTATCACAGTCCAGGACGTTTGAGTTGGAATGAAATGAACAACAGAACAACTGATTACGTGAGATTTGTGATGATTTTTGAAAGTTAAATTTTTTTCAAGTTTCACTGGTTTGTCTTATTACTAAAGAAAAGTAAAAAATAATTTTTTTATGTGTTTTTTGATTGATTCAGTTTTGTCACCCAGAGGCCTTCAAGTGTTTTCCAGAGACCCAGAATGAAGTGACCCAGCATCAGACCTCATTGTCTGCTATAATTTCTTGTCTTTCTTAATTTCACCATTCTGTTCCTATCCCTAAGCCTGCTGAATCCACATCTCTCCTTCCTATCCTCCCACTTACTTATGTCAGGGTAATAGTAAAGTTGTTTAATAAAATTTTGAAAATATCTCTCTAATAAATGGTTATGACATGCTCTCTTTAATCTGCCTGCATTGAAAGGGTTAACTCTGTCCCTCTGTCAACAGAAATGGTGATTTTTTTTACAATAATCCATCAGCCTCTCCCTTTCTCCTGGCCATCCTTCTGTAGCCCAGCTTTCGACCTTTTTTATGTGGTAGTTCGACCATGGATTGTCAGTTTCCACTATTACTGGTTTGCAATGGGCTTTATCACCTATATTTTGCCTTTCTTATTACTGTCAGGTTTTTCTTCTGTCATCTCCACTTTGTTCAACCCCCAGTGGCACAGTGGTATATCTGCAGACTTACAACACTAGAAACTGGGTTTTGATACCCGTGGTTGGCTCACTGATAGCTCATTGTGTAGCTTTGTGCTTAACTTCAAACAAATCAAACAAACTACTTTGTTCCAGTCCTTCCATATTCACTAACCCCCTCATTCTACTCCCATTTTTGATTGGGACTTCGATGTGGTTTTATTTTGCTCTTACATGTACTTCATTGAAGCCATTGATTCGTGTTCATTATACCTTCTTTCTCTAAAGACCTATTACGATTTCCTTCTTGCCTATGGTCACCGTCATTCAGATATCTATGTCATTGATGTTTCCTGCACTTTTTTACATTATACTTACTTCTCTCTCCAGTGCAAAACTTTCTTCCAAAGACTAAAGCTGCTCTAGATGGTGATGGTTCTTTCACATTTCGTTACATTACATTCAACAACTGTCTTGCATCTCATTTTCACTGACCCTTGGATGTGATTCTTCAGGTTGGCATGTGGACTCATCCACATTTATTCATCTCCATTACCTTCATCATCTAGCTGTTTGATCTCCCTCCAATTGCTGTTCTTCAGTGAAACTGTATACAGTCTTTGAGAAGGATCAGTACACTTTCTTTTGTATCACCCTTTTCCCTTTTAGAGGATCCCACCAGATGGCTGGTGTTGCCTCCCAGAGTATGCTTATTTCTACATCATGCCAGGGGTAACAGAAAGTTCTCAACCCATCCACTGTAGCTCCACCAGTATCCACTGTTGAGATGGGGTGTTCTACAGTACCACCAGAAGTATCCTTGTGGTATTAAAATTACTCAATTATCCAATCCAGACCATACCATACCATGAGCTATCATGAAAAATGGTGACACCAGTGAAGTGACTGCCCACTTCTTTGGTTCATGCTTGTCATTGCACAATCTTCAGTAAAGACCTTTCCTACAGGTGTCTGATGTGGATCTGGTTACTTCTCTGGGTCTCCCCAGTGTGAATTCTCCCCCCTTCTTCAAAAAGAGCATAGGTGCTCCTTGCCACTTACCTGTTCCTAACCTCTGGGGTGATGGACCTTGGACTGTGTACAATACATTATGGGGAGAAGTAGGATGGGTGGTTGTAGCACTGTCTGTGTAGTGTGAATCACACCTCATTCAGCTAGAGTGCCCTCCTCCTGCAGTGGGAAGGGTTTGTCAACCCCATTTCTGTCCAGTTGAGGTGAGACACGCCATACAGTACACTTCTTGGCTTGTTGACCATTTGTGAGTGGGTGCTTGGTTGATCATGATAAAATTCCATCCATCCCTGCAACATTTGGAGTTCTTTTGCCTTTCCCTCTGTTCCCTCCAGGCAAAATGTATACCCTGGTTGAGATGAGATGTGGTCTTCCACAGGTGTGCCCTTGTGGAGCTCATGCTATTGGGTGTCACACTCTATGGACTTTCCCTTCAGGCACTTGCTGAAGGAAGCTCATCTAGGTTTAATATTTGCACTTGCCTCTTCACCTTTTCTAACTATTCCTGTTTGCATAGTTGAGGTATTGCATCAGAAGTTAACATTTTCCTAACCAGAAAATATATATTTCCTATAGATACTCACCTCCGCACATCATTCATCCTCCCCACTTCTGGTGCACTTTCTTCTTGCCTTGTCTAAGAATGAAGTTATTTCAAGTGCAAGTACTTAGGGGGAGTTACTGTACAAGGAGGTTTTGTCACCCTCCTATTGGTGGAAGGCTATGGCACAGGATGATGTCATCATGCTCTAGTGCAGTTCACATTAAATGTATGATTTTCAGGTGGGAGTTAGTTCAAGGCTATCATAGGCATATGTGCAAGGGATCATTTTACTATTCTGTGTAAGTTTCTATCATTTTTAGATAAGGAAAATATTAACTTTCTTCATAACGCTGTTCATAGTTTAATATTATATACCAAACAACTGTGTTTGAATTTGTACATAAAGGAAGAATTTAACCCTCCTATTCTTATTCCATTTTTACATTTCTGTCATCATTTACTTTAATTATCTAAACTTGAGTGACAGCTTTGTGCATAGTATAACCTTTAATTGTTCACATTTCTCAATGATGTAACTGGATGATATTATAAAAGATGGTTTAGATGAGTATTGTAATTTTTGAAGATTTGAACAGACTTTTTCTCCACCATTTTCTCTTTTTTTTTTTTTGTTAATGAAGCAGTCTTGGTGTTTGGTGGTAAATCTTAGAGTTTAATTTATTTATATGTTTGTACAAAACAGCTACAGTAAACCAGATTGTGGCAGAAAAAGAATGTTTTATGGCACACACAGGTCATAAGACTATTTTTATGTTGATTCTTGAAAGAGAAGGAGAGCTTTTATCAGTTTTTTGTCATTACTATCCATATTTCTCTTTGAAGCTATTCAAGCACTGAAGCTTACACTAAAAATGGTTAGGTATACTGCACCAAAATCTATGCATAACTACTAAACCAACTTCTGCAAAGGTTGTACAGGTATTTTTAAGTTGATTGTTGTGTTACGACAGCCGAAGTCACGTGACACTTGTAGCACGTGATGAATTTCTCGAATGATCATGAATTATCGGGTAAGCCCGAGTTTGTTCGAGATCCTCTCTTTTTTAGTATATAAGCCTGGCAGAGAAAGGCTGGGAGATGAATGTATGATAAAGTGAACAGTAGTCACGGTCAGTTTCGGGCAAAGTTAATGAGATTGTGAATTGCTCTGGTGTATAGTGTGTATTATAAAAGTTGTTAAGTTTAAAGTGACGATAAACATAGTTATTCTGAAATTACTGTGTACTAAAAGTGTGTATCGAGAAAGAATAAACTGGTTTAATCAAGAAAGGGCTTTTATCACTGAAGTTTCATGGAAAGAATATCTACCGGAAACAAACAAACAAGCAGATACGCAACAGTTGAAAGTCGAGATTTCCACTCTAAAAGTTTCTAAGTTCTTCTTTGCAACCAACATAAGCTCTTCAAAGACATTTAAGCACCGTTATATGAGTTGGAAATGGTCGGTTTGTTCTAGTCAGAAACACTTCATTTTATTAGAGTAAACAATATATATAATTTAAAACAGTGTCTCCAGCTTTATTTTTATTGATTATAGTTTTACAAGCTTCTACAGAAAAACTTCAACAAATATTTTACTGAAACCTTGACATTAGTAATGAATGCAGCATTGATTATGTCATAGGATAGTTTTAAAATTAATTCAAGTGCCTTTGTTTTTTGCCCTGAAGAATCTGGTGTTTTACTAATGTGCATTAATTAGAAATTGCCACGTTGAGGATTCATCATTTCTCAAGTTCATTGTTTTACATTGTTTCTCGAGTTTGCTGTTGTACTTTATCATAGTAGATTTCTCCACTCTTGTGAGTGGTAATTTATTCTGTTGATTTTCACATTTCACTGAAGTTGTGAGTGGTAATTTATTCTGTTGATTTTCATACTTCACTGAAGTTGTGAGTGGTAATTTATTCTGTTGATTTTCATACTTCACTGAAGTTGTGA